ATGTAGACCATTTACTAAGTGACTTAAGATTTTCAATGAGTGTTCAAAGTGCAGCCTGATTTTTTTTTTTCTTGCTGCTCATGTGAGAGAAGGGATAAACTAAAAGAAGGAATGTTAAACAAAACAGAGTCAGGATGTTGATGATTTTTAAAATGCTCAGCCTCAGCTGGGCACAGTGGTACACGCCTATGATCCCAGCTACTTGGGAGGCTGGGGCAGGAGGGCTGCATGTTAGACATCGTTAGAGTTTAGCTTTTGTCCCCCAAAAGCTAACGCGTTAGAAAATGCAAGAATTTTCAAAGTTGGAAGATTCAATTATGAAAGCTTTACCTTTGGATTAACTGAGTGATAACTATAGGCAGGAAGGGTGTAGCTGGAGGAAGTAGGTCACTAGGGGCATATCTTTGGGTTTTGTATTTTGTCTTCGGTGAGCAGAGCTCACCCTCTGCTTCCTAGTGCCATGTCCTGAGCTGCTCTGCCACAACCTTCCACCATGATGCTCGCTTCACCTCAGGCCTAGAGCAATGCAGTCAACATATGGACTGAACCGCTGAAATCATGAACCAAAATAGACATTTCCTCCTCTAAGTTATCCTTGTAGAGTATTTTGGTCACAGCGACACAAAGGTGACTAAAAACAGACATCTTGTCTTAAAATTTTTAAAAATTATTTTAAAAACGGCTAGACATGTAGCTCAGTGGTAAAGTATCCTGAGTGCAATCCTTAGTACCTACCCCCCCCCCCCCAAAAAAAGTTCAACCTCTCAGATGTAAAACAATGCTACAATTAAGAAATATCTTCTGCCAAGTGCAGAGGCACCTGCCCATAATCCCAGCAACTTGGGAGGCTGAGGAAAGATGATCACAAATTTGAGGCTAGCCAGGGCAACTTAATGTGACCCTATTTCAAAATACATAATAAAAAGGGCTGAGGATGTAGTTCAGCAACAGAATGCCCCTGGATTTAATACCCAGTGTGAAAAAGAAAAAACAGATTTAAAAATTTCTAAGCAAAGAGCAAACCTAAGGCATAAGACAGAATTAAGAGCATAACTGAAAAATGTTAAAGAGTTAGAAAAATCAAAGGCACAATTCATTCAAACAAAAGGTGCTATAAAGAAATTAAGGGTTGGGCTGGGGATGTGGCTCAAGCGGTAGCATGCTCGCCTGGCATGCATGCGGCCCGGGTTCAATCCCCAGCACCACAAAACAACAAAGATGTTGTGTCCGCCAAGAACTTAAAAAATAAATATTAAAAATTCTCTCTCTCTCTCTCTCTCCTCTCTCACTCTCTCTTTAAAAAAAAAAAAATTAAGGGTGTGCCTCAGAAATCCAATTAATCACACAATAGATCTTAATTAAGAACATTGTATGAAGCAAAGTCCAAAGCACAGAGATTTGCAGATGGTAAAGCTTTTGACTAATGAAATGGAAGCCAGGAAAATTCACTAAAGATCCATAAAGTTTTTAGAAGAAATGTACAATCAGAAACATTGCCAGCTTAAACTGAAAGAGGCATACATGACACAAAATAGAAGTATTTGACCCTCAAAATTCTATTAGAGGATGTAGACTGAGAAAATCAATCAGCTGTGAAGCAAATGCTTTCTGGGAATCAATGGGTAGAACCAAGAGCCAAGAGCACAGAGTCATGGAGAGAATTATCCCAAGTCCTGAGACCTAATCAAGAACATTGAACATTTGCCATCTGATTTCAGAATTGCCACAGACTAGAGACTTTGGCTCTTCTATTTTCTCCCCTTTTGAAGAGGAATGGCTAAAGTAGCTATCCTTCACCTGTCCCACTATTGTATGTCAGATGTACCAGATAACTTGGCTGTTGAGTCTCTCAGGCCAAGAGTAAACTGAACTTCAGGAGCTATACTCAGATGATAATATTTTGGATTTTTGAGCAGCTGCTGAAATTAGATGACACTTGTGGTACTAACTCTTCTGCATGTAGGAGAACATGAATTACTGTGGGCCAGGCAGAAGACTGTAGTCATCAGCTATCAAGAAGGGCACCAATGATACCCACCTCCTTAAATACTCCCCCTTCCACACAGAGTCAGGATTAGTCTGTGTGACCAAGTGAATATGAAAAGGGACAGTATATCACTTCCAAGCATTATTAAAAACTGAGGTTTCTGCTTAAGCACTCTCCCATTTATCTGCTCTCTCAGACCTCTCACTCTGGGATGAACAAACTAACATGTTATAAGCAGTCTTATAGAAAAGTCAAAGTGGAAGGAAATAAAGTCTCTAGCCAAACATCAGCAAGGAATTAAGAGCTACCAACAAGCAGTTAGGCAAACTTGGAAGCAGAATCTCCAGCCCCAGTGAGGCCTTGAGATGACTACAGATCTGGCCAATACCTTGACCACAACCTGGTGAGATCCAGAGCCAGAACCACCACTCCTCAGTTCTTGACCATAAGAAACCACACAAAATAACAAATGATTATTGTTCTAAGATGCTAAGTTTTTGAGGTATTTATTACATAGTAATGGACAACTAAATGGTTATTAACCAAACTGCATATAACTATTAAAATATATTGAATCCTAATTATTCATCTGTATTTCATGGGTTTAAATACAAAAGAAAATAAAACAATAAAATCACGTCTAATAATTTCTTCCAACAAAATGACATCTAAGTAACACACAGATGGTTCTGGCAATATTGCCAACCATTACTCCAAGCCAAAATAGGGTCAGAATTGAAGACCAGTGATAACAAATCAGTTAACGGGCATGTATGTGACACAGGAAACTATATGAGCAATAAAAAGGCAGACTAAGAAGATAAAACTGCTCCAAAGTAGGCAGAGGAACCAAGGACCAGATTAACAAAACAGCCAAGAGAGAAGCATCCTTGACTAGAAAACACACCTGAAAGGGGATGTTTGCAACTGGAAGAAACTACAGAATTCAGATAGAAGATAGTCTTGGGAGGAACTGAAAAAAAAAAAGAGAAGAATGTAGGAAAAGTGTGAAGAAGACATTATCCAAGAAAACATGTAAAAGAGGAAAATGCAAAAAAAAAAAAAAAAAAGAAGAAGAAGAAACAAGATGGGCCTACGTTATTTGGAAACCAGATGCTTTGCTAAACATGCTTTCAAACTCTGACCTCAACCCAATTGATACTTAAAGTTTCAAGAAAGAACACAATATAAATTAATGATGAATATTATTCCTAACTCATTTGAAATACATCTCAAAAACACCAATATTTATTGTCAAAATTTTTTAAAGACCCAGTAGCTAATAAATATTCTCTGTGAAACCAAAAAAAAAAAAAAAAAAAATCAAGCTTACCTGATCATTCACAATATGAGGAAAGAGTGGGGAGGGGTAGAGAATATGGCAAAAAAAAAAACTGGATGGTAGTAAATAGGTTATAAAAAAAAACTTACTTTCCCAACTGGAAACTGATTATAGATGTTTAAAACAAATATTTGCCACCTACCATCTTGTGCCATTCAGATATATCACACACTACTAGTGAAACTGTGGATTAGAAATATACAATATATAAAAAAGAATTTTATATTATAAAAAGTGGTTAAAGAATTAGAGTCAAGTTCAAAATGTGAGGGTATTACCTCTACTTTCCAGGACTTGGAACAGAACCTATGGAGAATAATAGTTCCAGAGTAGGTAATACCTAAAGGTGCTCCTTCAGCCTAGCAAGATAGCACAGGGCTGTAATTTCAGCAATTCAGGAGGCTGAGGCAGGATCACAAGGCTAGCCTGGGCACTTATTTGAGACCCAGTCTCAAATAAATAAATAAAAAAGGCTGGAGATGTAGTTCAGTGGTACCACACACACACACAAAAACCAACACCAAAAATAATAAAAGTACCCCTTCAGAAAGTTTTTGTTTTGTTAAAGATAGGGTCTTGCTACATTGCTTAGGGCGTCACTAAATTGCAATGTTTATCAAACTTGCAATCCTCCTGCGTCAGCCTCCAGACTCACTGAGACTGCAGGCATGTACCACACCTGGCTTATTCAGAAAAGTTTTTTTTTAAAAGCTAGGCTCTGTTTTCACAGTAATGGTAATCTCTTATTCTAAGAAACTGCACCTGCTATTCAATTGATTGGAGCTTTGTTATCATCTTGACATTTAATACCAAACAAACAAAAAACAGGTCTCACAAATTGCTTGCTGTGGCCTCTACACACACTGATAACTACGGGGTGGGGAAAATATCATTTTGACTCTTACAGCTGTGTGGCAACTGATAACTTACTTAACATTTCCCCTCTGTGTGTTTAATGGTGGTGTTTTGGGAACTGAGGAAAGGATGAAGTACAGCGTGAAGAATAAATCCATCCCACATATTCATCATCCAGGTCCCAACTCAGTGCTACCAATCTTATCAAATGCTGTTCCCAGCACATCACCTGCTTTTCTTTCCCTGACAGCACTTAACATTATCCAGAATCATTTTATTAGAGTGCTGGTTAGTTGCTGTCCGCCCTGTTCATCAGAGCAAGAACGTGGACCTTCAGTGCCATGGGCACAGCTGTACTCCCCAAAACTTAGAACACTGCGTGACACTAAGAGCCACTCTGGAAGCATCTAACAAAACGGAGACCGATGGGAATGCCGTCCCCTCTCTTCTGCTCAAACTCCTCCCGCCCCTTTACCAGCCGAGTCAAACAGCACACTACCGTGCCCACGCTCGGGGCGAATCCAGGGGATGCCTCTTATTCTGTACGGGGGCACTAAAGTCGGGGCTAGGCACGCAGAAGGCACTTGATGCCGATAATGACCGAATGACACTGAGAGCTGGGCACGTGCGGGTGGCACACGCGCGGTGAAGCCCCTCGCGACAATCCCTCCGAGCAGCCGAGCCGCTTGCTATGCAGCCTTCCCTGTGGACCCTGACCGTCCTCAAGGCCAAAAGGTGCAGGGCACCTTCAGGGCTGCCACAACGCCCTTTTGGAGGGCGTCCCAGCCCCCGAGGAAAGGCGCGGAGCCCACTCACTGTAGGTCCGTCCCAGAGCTTTGAAGAGCAGATCGCGCTTCACGCTGACAGTCGGCATGGCGAGTCGGGCCCACTGCGCCTGCGCGCGGAGCGGGCCAGGCCTGGGCGACCCAGGAGCGTAGGACCCGGGACTTCTCATGCAGGCTGTCATAAATATAGCCAGTCTACAGACGACAATTTTTTCTCCATTTTTTTGTACATGAGTACAATAAAATTGTCACCATTAGGATGATTAAATCTATTTTTTTCAATGACTTAAACGCTTGGTAAGGAGACATTATTGAATAGAGTTGGCTAGGATTTGATAGGCAATAGAATGGACAGACCTCAAGGTCCCGGATCTAACGTGCTAGAACAAGGGTCACCAAATTCAGTGGGCGGGGCGAGAGAGGGGCGGGTGCCTAGAAAGGCTGGGCGAGAAGGGGCGGAAGTCGGGACGAGCAGGCTCTGCGGTTACAGAAACTTCTCCTGAGGGTTGGAAAAGAAGGAGCGCAGGGTCTGACTTCCTGGATGGAAGGATGTGTAAATACGAGGTTGTGTTTTATTATTTACTTTTTTTTTTTTTTGCGGAAAATTTTATTTTTTAACCTCTTATAAGTGCAGTACCTTATAAGGGCTTGATATCTGGCAGCGGCCACTTCTGGTGGAGAAGTATTGTTAGAGACCTCTTTTTAGAAGAGGAAATATGCGATTTATTAATGCTGCCTGCTGTCGGGTGCTGTGCTCATCCCTCGGCCAGCAATAGAAGATTTCCTCTTTAAAACAACCCCGAGTGTAATTGAAAGATTACAAAAAATATCGGGCCCTAATCCCTGGAGCCTGTAAATGTTGCTTTATATGGAATCGGGCCTTGGTAGATTAAGAATTTTGAGATGGAGAGATTATCCTAGATTATCAAGATGGGCTATCAGTGTAATCACATGTAATCACTTATAAGTGGGAGGCAGAGGTCGGAGTGTGGCAGCCCCAAACCGAGGATGCCAGCAGCCTCCAGAAACAGGAAGAGGCAAGGACAGAGTCTCCTCTAGCCCTTGGAGCAGCCCTATGCACACTTGGATTGTGAGCAGTGAAACTGCTTTTGGGTTTGGAGCCTCCAGGACAATGAATGAATAAATTTTTGTCTTAGATCCACAAGTTAGTGGTAATTTGTTTCAGAAGCCCTGAGAAACTAACACACTCAGGCAGATTCCATTATTGTCCCCATTTTATAGATGATGACAATAAGACAAACTGTCCCACTCACCCAACTTGCAAGGCTCCCAGTTCCTCAGGGGAGCCCTGCCCTTATCCTCTGGGTGAAGTACAATGAAGGCACTTCACTTGAGGAGATAGAAGCTGGGCAGGACTCAGGCCACCCTGTTAATCAAGCAGTCATTGACTATGTTAGTTTTTCTTCATGGCCACAGGAAGTCCCCAGTGAACAACATAATAGACATGCAAACATCATGTGAATGGCAAAACCCTAATGCCATATACAACTTTCTATCCCAAATCGGTGCTTAGAACTCAATTAAGGAATAAAAGACCCAGAGTTAGTGTGTCCTCTGGGTACTCGAGAGTGTTCTGTGGCATCTGAACTTCAGTTACCTCATCTATAAAATAGAGATAATCACACTTTTATAAGGTTTAGAAATAATTCTCATAAATAACTTGTCTGGGATCTATGGTGTAGCCCAGTGGTAGAATGTCTGGCTGACATGCTTGAGGCCCTGGGTTCCATCCCCAGATTCACAAATAACAAAAAACAGACTAGTATAGTTCTTATCAAGTCATTGGTCCTGGAAATAGGTCTGCTGTCCTGTCCTTGTAGTCAGTTCCTACTAGTCTCAGACCATCTGGGAACACTATGTTCCCATCTCCCGCATCCCCCAATGCATTTATTCTGGTTTTTATCATTGTACACATTGCAGGTACTCTGCACCTTCTCTATGTCTAGCTAAACTGTTAGAAGATTCTAATGGAAAAACGAAAAGTAGGCCATGAGTACTCATCACACTTGACATTAGCTGACTAATAGACAAATCATTGTAGCATTATAATATATTTTTATCTAGAATAGTTGATTTATCTTTGATACTTTCTCTTTCAAAAGTTTTGTGACTACTGGCTCGTGTTATTTTTTTAAGATGGAATTCTGAATTTTTTCAAGTTCTAAAAAACATTCTTTTCATTTATTAGGAATCAAATATAATTCATGGATTATGGAATCTTTAATCCATAATTCATGGATTATGGATTAGGAATCTTTCTATCCAAGAACCATAACTCCATGCAAGTTCTTTCATTGTTATTTCTTTTTCTCTTGCAAGGTGTTGAACATCTTAGGTCTTTGAACCAGAAGTTTCCTCCACTTAAAATCTACTGCATCCAGACTCCATAGAGCTACATTCCTCCGTTCCTTCAAGTATTCTCAAGAGTCTTATCCTTGCTCCTGCAATTTGTTATGGTTATTAGGTATAAACATCTCTCTCTACTAAAACATACATTCTGTAAGAGCAAAGGTTCTTACCTGGCACACAGCAATCCCTTCCTTCAATATTTGAAGTTTTCTTTTAATGACAGGAATACTAGTAAAGGAGATTGCTATCCAGGCTGCTCTGGGACATGAAACCAAGAAAGCAGGTAGGCAGCTTCTCAGTAAGGTGGCTGGAAAAAAATAGGAGTTTGGGGAATTAATACTGAACATTCAACATCCTTCTGAGTCCCTGAGCTGCTTTGAATGTTCAGTATTAATATACTTGTAAATATATACTTCAATAGAAAAAATTAGATAAAGGAAGTGAAAAGCAATTTGTTAACTACAAACAAAATGGGAGGGGGGAATGCAACTTAAAACCACAATGAAAGCAGAGTTATTTTCTCCAAAGGAGATTATCAAAAATTAAATAAACCATCACACCACATGCTGGCAAATATTTAGTAAGTCAACACTCTTAGACACTCCTGTGAGGAATACAAAAGCAGTTTGATAATGTGAATTAACACTTAAGCTTATTCTCCTTGATCCTGAAATACCACTCGTAGAATTATTCTAAGTAAATAGACAGGTAAATATCCTTTTCAGTACAGAAAATTTTGAAATAATCTAAACATTGAACAATTTGTTTTGAATAAAGTATGATACCTCTATGCAATGGAATGTTATGCAAACATTAAACATAATGTAGGATTAGGGGTGTAGCATGTGCAAGGTTCTGGGCTCCATCCCCATGTAGCAGAAATAACAATGACAATAATAATAATAATATTGATTGTTTTATGTATATATGTATTTCTTCTTTTATGTACTTTTTTGTTTGTTTATTTACTTACTCTTGTGGTTCTGGGATCAAACCAGAAACTTTTTCTATTTCTAATGAGGAATGTCATTGGGATTTTAATTGGAATTGCCTTAAATCTGCATTACACTTTTGGTAGTATGGCCATTTTGACAATATTAATTCTGCCTATCCAAGAACATTGGGAGATCTCTCCATCTTATGGTCATCTTTAATTTCTTTCTTTAGTCTTCTATAGTTTTCATTATAAAAGTCTTTCGCCTCTTTTATTAGATTGATTCCCAAGTTTTTTTTTTTCTGAGGCTATTATAAATGGAGTAATTTTCCTAATTTCTCTTTCAGAGGATTCATTACTGATGTATAGAAATGCATTTGATTTATGTGTGTTTATTTATTTTATATCCTGCTACTGTGCTGAATTAATTCATTAGTTCTAGAAGTTAGAAAATCTTTACCTCGTGCACATCAGATAGAGCACTAATCTCCAGGATATATAAAGAACTAAAAAAGCTACCAAAAAAACAAATGACCCAATCAATAAAAGGGCTAAGGAACTAAGCAGACACTTCACAGAGAAAGATACACCCTGAATCAACAAATATATGAAAAAATCTTCAACATTTCTAGCACTTAGAGAAATGCAAATCAAAACTGCTCTAAGATTTCATCTCACTCCAGTCAGAATGGCAATTATTAAGAATATAAGCAGGCACATTGGCCTACATCTATAATTCCAGCAGCTCAGGAGGCTGAGGCAGGAGGATCTGTAGTTTAAACACAGCCTCAGCAATGGCAAGACATTGAGCAACTCAGTGAGACCCTGTCTCTAAATGAAATACAAAATAGAGCTTGGAATATGGCTTAGTGGTCTTTTAGTGCCCCTGAGTTCAATACCCCCGCCAAAAAAAAATGCAAAAAACCATAAGTGTTGGTGAGGATGTGGGGGGAAAGGTACACTCATACATTGCTGGTAGGACTGCAAGATGGTGCAATCACTCTGGAAAGCAGTATAAAGATTCCTTAGAAAACTTGGAATGGAACCAGCATTTGACCCAGCTATCCCACTCCTCAGTCTATACTCAAAGGACTTAAAATCAGAATACTACAGTGCCGCAGCCACATCAATGTTTACAGCAGCTCAATTCACAATAGCTAAACTGTGGAACCAACCTAGATGTCCTTCAATATCTGAATGGATAAAGAAATTGTGATATATATACACAATGGAATATTACTCAGTCTTAAAGAAGAATGAAATTATGGCATTTGCAGGTAAATGGATGGAGTTGGAGAATATCATGCTAAGCAAAGAAAACCAATACCCAAAACCCAAAGGCCAAATGTTTTCTCTGATAAGTGGATGCTGATCCATAATGGAAATGAAGGGTAGGGGCAGGGCACAAGCAAGGGAAGAACAGAGGAATTTAGGACTGGGCAAAGGGGAGAAAGGGGAGGGGAGGGGGTATGTGGGTGGGAAGCATGGAAGAATGAGACAAACATTACTACCCTGTGTACGTGTGTGATTGCACAAATGGTGTGACTGCGCATGAAATACAACCAGAGAAATGAGGAGTTGTGCTCTATTTGTGTATAATTAGTCAAAATGCATTCTGTCATGTATAACTAATTAGAACAAAAAAAGCCTAAGACAACTTAGACTGTGACTCAAAAAATAAAAAGAGTTGGGGATGTGGCTCAATGGATTCAGTGATTAAATCCCCAGTACCATAACAAATAAATAAATAAATAGGCTTAAATGAATGTGACTGTAAACAAAAATAAAACAGCCGGGGCTGAGGATGTAGCTCAGTGGCAGACCATTTGCCCAGCATGTGCAAAGCTCTTGGT